AATAATAATAATAATGAATCTTCCCATATGCCTTTCCATAATACTCATAGTACTTAAATACAGTGCTTTTAAATGTTAGTTTCCACCACTAGAAGAGTACAATTGGCAGAGTACAGCACAGGGAATTTATATTTAAGCTGTATAAACAGTTTATTTTCTTTATAGTTCACTTTGCCAGCATCACCATGTTGTCTTCTGCTGATGAGATAAGAGTGGACACATTTAGTTAAAGAGACATAGAGAGAGAGAGGAGAGAGAGAGAGAGAGAGTTGAAGAGGGGGAGGGAGGGAGGCGGAGCGAGGCTTTTACTACAGTGTGTGTGTTGAGGAGGTCGGCAGTGAGGAGGAGAGTACCGGAGAGGATGCTGGATGCTGAGACGGAGCTGCTGGCGTTACACTTTCTGTCACAGTGAAGCAGCTCTCAACCTGCCTGGAAAGAAAGAACAACAGCACATCTGTTCGGACACCTCAGGTAAGACAAGAGATTTATTTAAAATGATTACATTTATTTTTTAAAGCGTTTCCACTGATATTATTTGTATGGTGAAAAATATAGTATAGTTAAAATGTCCTTTAATCAGCAGTGGTTTTTCTTATGATAAGCAACAAATACAATAAAAAAATCAGCTTTTAATAATAAAAATCTGTAAAAATCACTCAGATATGATTTCTGACTGTAAATAAAAAAGGATGAGTAATAGTGATTTATGTGGTGGTCAAATACATTTGACATTTATTTCCTCAAAATGCCATATTCACAGATAGCTGACGTCATTAGAGTCACATACTATGATCCATGATTGTCAATTTACCTTAGAAAGATTTATATTCATCACATAGGTGAACCTTGAGTATATCTTATTATTAAATGGAAGACAGCTGATACTGGATTTTTGATATTTATGAGATATATATATATAATCTATCTGATATTTGTTCTTTTTTTAAAGTATATTTCTTACCTTAAATGACAGAATATCTAAATATTCATATATTTTATATGTCTATTAAGACAGTTCTTATAGATTATGTATTTGTTTACTCATATATTAGGATTTTGTTGGATGACATAACTCTACATCCGCAGTAGCATAAGAAATTAAATAAACATTTTTGATAAAAAACCCTTAATTAATGCAATTAATTAACTGTTTCTAAATTATCTTTTTTACTGCAGTTTGTTTGCAATTTACCAGCCATCATAAAGTAAATGCAGATTTGTGACTAAAATCATGCAGAAATATCACTCAAAGCTTAGCAGGGTGAAGATAAAGTGTTTCATCCTCCACTACATTTGTGGATTTAACTTTAATTAACTTTAATGTATGCTCATGAATAAGACATGAACACATCAGCAGGCTGTTTATATCAGGCACTCCTGAGACAGTAGTGTCCTAGCATTTTAAAAAAGTATTTCTATTTGTATAATCTGTAGATTATGGAAATAAAGTGTCACATTTTGATTGATTCAACTTTAAAGCTAGAACCTTTAGCTGCTTAGCTTAGCGCAAAGACTCTAGTTCTGTTCAAATATTAAAGACATTTGCCTACCAGCACCTCTAAAGCTCACTAATTACAACGATATATCTCCTTTATTTAATCTGTACAGAAAGAGAAAAAAGGTGGTTGCTAACTGTTTTCTCATACCTAAAGGTCCAGTGTGTAACATTTCGGTAAATCTGTTGGTAGAAATGTAATATAATATTCATCGGTATGTTTTCATTAGTGTATAATCACCCGAAAATAAGGTTTGTTGTGTTTCCGTTACTTAATTAGTTAATTAGCTGTTTGTACAGAGGGAGCAGGTCCTCTTCTATGGAGTCGTTAAAAACGCTGGCTCTACATAGGGAATTTCGTGGCCACCATAGTTTCTCCTACACATTTGGAATGGGAGAGTGAGGCGAGGGGGTTGTATTCTGCAACTACACCACTAGAAGCCACTAAATCCTACACACTGGTCCAATAAAGTATAACTACACCCTTCAATTCAAGTCTGTATCGCAAACACAGACAGTCTGCTGGAGCTTTTACAGTCACTAGAAGCACATTCACAGCTGTTTCTGTAACTAAAAATGATGTGTCTCAATCACAATACATTTGAAATTGAGAAGAAATTTACTTTTTATGGGGATCTTAGTACTGATTAAACACACAAGATATAACATGTTACTTTGTGAGTTTTAGAGGTGCTGGTAAACTTTGGACGGAGCCAAGCTAGCTGTTTACCCCAGTTTACAGTCTTTATGCTAAGCTAAGATAACCGGCTGCTGGCTCCAGCTACATATTTAGTGTCAGATGTGAGAGTGGCGTCAATCTTCTCACTTAACTCCCTGCAAAAAGGCAAAAATAGGTTTTGTCCTGCACATAATGCCACTGAAAAAACACCGCTTGTCATTTATATAATTAAGTTTTTGTATGGATTAAATAAAGATGGTAATTAGTGAGACTTAGAGGTGCAGGAAGGTGGATTTTGTTACTTTTGGACAGAGTTTTTGGGCTAGCTGTTCCCCCTTCTGTCTTTATCCTAAGCTAAACTGATCTCCTGGCTGTAGCTTCATATCCAACACACTCAGCAAGCGAGAAAGTGAACAAGCGTATTTTACCCCAAATAATCAAACTTCCTTTAAATAAAAGAGCTGTTTGGACACATTGTCTTTTGCAAAGCTGACAGTGAAAAGAGATGAGGAGGCGTTCTGTCTTTATCTCACTGGTCAGCTCTGGAGAAACCTCCGGCACAGAGGGTGACGGAGGCCGGCGGCTTACTGCCTACCGTGTAGTGGCAGCAGTGGAGTCTGATAGGGGGAGGGATGAGGAGAGAAGAGGAAGAAAGTGTGTGTGTAAAAAATCGATTTTTTGCAATACTCACTTTTTTTATTTGGTCTATCATCCTCAGCTCCTCAGATAGTTTATTGAGCCCCCTCTTCTTTCCCATGCTCCCTATAATCCCGTCTGAATGCCCCTTTTGACTCCCCAGATCAGCTGTATTGACTGTGTGTGTGAGGTGGGTGGTGGTGGATTATACAGGCTGCTGAGTGCTCAGGTGCTGACTGATGTGGCTAATGTGCTTGAACAGAAACGGTTCACGCCAACTCAACACCCCCTGCCTGCTGAACTCAGGGGAAATATGTCCTGTTGTAGGTTTTTTTTTTCTTTTTCTCCTTGTGTCTGTGCTTTTTTGAGATGTTGTCATTCAAGACTTAATTGTTTGTTAGCAGCTAAACAGCCAGTGCTGTTAAAGGGTAGGTTCACTCAGCCGGTTCTCATTCCCAACTCGTCAAATACGACAGCTTGGTCAGTGGCCCCCCCACGCTAGAGCCCTGCGCAGGAAGTGTCTTCTTATTCCTGGTGGATTTCTGACTGTTTCTGCAGAAGCATTATGACCACTCACTCCTGCACAATAGAGATGCGGTGTCTGGTTAATAGATATTTCCCAATGCCAGACTTGCCTTCCTCCCATCCTAAAAGCAGTGGGAATACAAACATACATGTTTTCATGGTTGGGGGGAGAACATGCAAACTCCACACATTAAGGCCCTTCCTGCTCAGAGGAGAAATCACTTATAGCTGTTTTACACAGTTTCTGAAGCTTAGTCGTGAATGCATGTAATTTATTGCACTTGAACGCACCACAAATCACCTTTAGTGTCACGCTCACGCTGGTACGCCCCTTCATGTTCCCCTCTCTTGCAGTCTGCACATAAACACCACTCCAAGACACTGCGACAGCAACAGAGATCTTCAACAAACAGTTGGTTTTGAAGGATGAAGTGTGATAATAATCCAAATACTTTAATTTTTAAAAAAAGTACAAATTGCTTACATACTTTTACTTATGCCAGTGGCCCCCCTTATGTAGGACTGTAATAGAGTACTTCTAAAAGACAGTGGATTTATGTATTGATGTCCTCTTTAAGTGGGTGAAATTGCCTCTTTGGTCATATAATAGTGTCAGGGTTAAGGGTCAAGTTCTTCCTGACCTAATCCATAGAAGCAATCAATTGAAATTCATGAATTTCCCATTTTCCCATTACTTCTAGTGAGGATTCTTCCACATGAGCTCATTCAGCAGAGCATTTAGCAATTTGGACGGTTGAAATGTACAGTAATTGACTTTCCTCCTCCTCAGATCCGCAGCTGAGGCATTATCGTTTTCAGCACTCGGGAATTCTCTCAGCACAGCAGGAACAGCAGATGTGTTGCACGAATCCACTGTGGCCCCAAGTGTTTGATTAGCTGTATACCGTGGGCACACTCAAATTGTTCACAGCCAGGAAAAGATGAAGGGGGAGGGCAGATGTGTGTGTTTACGCGTGTTTGTGTGTGTCACAGAAACACAGTTGTAAATAGAAAACCTGTACAACACTTTTATGTGCGGATTTCTCCCCTGAATGACCCACATATTCTGTTGGGGGCTTCAGGGCAGAAATGTCAGACACAGACAACCACCAGCGATATGTGGATGAACCATCCACAGGCTAATTTAGGTTTCAGTGGTCCCAACAGTAGACATTAATGGTGTAAGGACCCTGATACAGTGATGTCAGACAAGAAACTGGGGCCCCCTTTTTTTCTGATTGAAATTAGGGTTGAGTGTGAAAGGGGCATCAGTGCACATTTAATAATTTTACACAAGGAAAGGTTGCCTTCCTTCTAGCTTCCATCTTTAAGGATTTTTTTGTCCACATTGGCTTTAAAGTCGAGCTTAAAATGCTCCCAGTTTTGATCACAAGATATAATTAAAAGTTCCAGAGCTGCTACTAAATGGAGTGTGTGATTTTTACTTAAAATCCGCTTTGCATTGTTTTTTACTTTCGGGACCTTTTTTCCTAATTCCCTGCTGGTCATTTTCGAGACTAGTGGTTCCCAAACTGTGGGCTGGGACCCTCACTAGAGGCCACCAAAGCTTCACAGGGGGTTGCAAGGCCGTCTTGATTTTAACTGTTGTAAGAAAATGTAAAACATTTACACAGTAGGGCAGTATTTCAGCATTTGTTTCAATTCTGTGAAGAAAACTGAACACAAACTTATTCATGTAGCCTTCAGTTGCAGCTAAACAGCCACATTAGTAGGTATGATTGTTAAAAAACTCGTCTCTGATTAATAGTTAGAGGAACTAATCTGCTCAAAATTCATTCAAATCGCTCGTTTTACATAAACTCCATAAAACATGTCACTTAGTCGGGGGTTGTTTGCTTAGACAATGATAAAAAGATCTCCAGACAAAAACATGAAAGAGATCATCAGCGAAAGCTGAGTGTCACATTTCCATTTAAAAACAACCATAACAAATTCACATGCTTCCATACAGAGTACAAGGACTCTCTGAATAGTTGAGGAGTATGAAATGATGTGAATCAAATGTAGAGGCCTTTTACAGTTCAGGAGATTTTGGAGGGATGTGTAGAAAGCACTGAGGGAGTTTATTTTGGATGAAAGGTGCTCATTCCCCCCAGTAGAGTTCAGAGTAGATGA